GGAGTGGCTTTAAGTAGAGTGCTGGAAGATGATTGGGCATCGATGAGATGTAGCTTGAAGCGGATTGGCTGCGTCGGAAGCGGATCAGCCTCAGATTGGATGGAAGTAATCAGAGTTTCTTCAGTTGAATTTCCGCCTTAGCTTCATTTTCAAACACAGCTTCCCGCAGGAGGAGAAAGGCTGCCTGCTCACATTTCAGCACCTCTCTGCCCCCCCAACAGAACAGCAGAGTCTTTTATTAACAGAACATGACACAATGGGGCGGGTCTTAGGACAGAAGACCCTGCAATGATGATCTAGCTGGATGCAGGTCATAAAACAGCATGACCCTGCTTTATGACCAACTGGCTGGAGGCAGGACTTCAATGTTTCATATGCACACACATCAACTTTATAATCATCATTGAATAATCCTAACATTATTATTGCATTCATTAAAAAATTTAGATTTGACTGCAGTCACAGGCATAACATAATTGCACTTCCTGTCCATCACACGATATTCCCCAATTTTCTATTTAGGTAAAGATGAAATAACAGTGGAACAACTTAAGGTGTTTTGGATGAGATGGATCAGAGCTACAGGAACAGCTTTGCAAACTTTTAGATATTCATTACAAGTACAGTTCAGGTTCAATGTCTTGGTAAAATCTATGATTTATCAAAATACCATTTCTGTCCATTAAGTCAGGAACAAATAGATTACCTTTTTCATATGTCAGTTTTATAAATAGATTATTTATTTATTAATATCGATCTGTTATTCCGCACTACGGATCCACGTGGGGCAAAATTGTGGTATATTGAAAATAGACGTATACCAAAAACCAGTCAAATTTAGTTATCACACCGGAATATTTATATGAATGCCAACAACAAAAAACATTATAAAAACAAAACATAATTTCATGAACAGCTTTACATTTTGTCCATAAATCTTGTCCTTCTGAGGCTGTGAAGGTAAATCTGTATTTTCCATGATCCCATATTATTTCACAAACCTGAAGAAATAATCTACCAGTTTAATAATGGAGAGGCTATTGGTCAGCATTATATATTTTCTAATATATAAAAACTATTTATTTTCTGAGAATGTGTTTATTTATGAGCAACTATGCAGATTAACAAACGTCTAGAAAAAGTCGACTATGTTCTATTATTTTCCATGTGAATCCCAGATTGCGCTTTAAATCAGTCCTAACTGTCTTTATCCAGGCTGGATCGCATCCTGATTTTTGAAAAAGGCGGCAGGCTACATAGTATACTATAGGATAAATCGGCGTATATATGGATTTTCTTGGTTAGTTCATCCACTGAATGTGATTTTACTTGTGGAATACAGCCGGCAAACTGCAGCCAAATGCTACACATGAAGCATTTTTACAGCGCATCTCCATGGGAGACGGGAGAACCAGCATGGCGGACGGTGGCTTCACCTTTTTCATGTAAATAAATAGAGATCAGTGACCTGCAGCCAAAAATGTCTGTTTGATGCACTGGTTGAAGGGTGGATGTGAATGAAATCAAGCTTTTACCTGAACTGAGTTTAGAGAAGAATTTTTTTTCAGTTTATTGGTTCATTTTCATTCAAATTTCCATACATTTTATACTCTATTCACTTGGCTTATAACTTTCCCTCTGCTTTGTTAGAGCAAAAAGAAAGACCAGATTATAATCTAATTTGTTTTGAGATGGCATGTTGAAAAATGTTAACAACCAAACCCTACACTGCGTGTTTTGCTAAAAAGAAAATGTTCAACAGCATTATAAATGATTTTTGTTGTTGCATTTTTTGGGGTGTAAAATATCCGGTGTGGGGGAAGTTATATCAGAGTGGAAGTTAGCAGATTAGTTGCTCTATTTTACATTTGAGAGGTAAAGACTTCCAATGTGACAGAAACTTCACATTTGTTTTTATTTAGTTTTTAATCCTCTTGCTTTACAGGCCCATTTCTCCGGATTATGCTGTTTGGATCAACTCTGTCAAGCAAGAACAAACTCTGTAACTTCATCCTAGGGAAGAAAAGTCTGGACACTTCTAGTTCTCACCAAGCCAAGACAGTTGAAAAGGGGACATGGAGAGGAAAGACCTTAGCCGTTTTGACACCCTCAGAAAGTCAGATGGGAAAAGTCGAAAAAGAGGAGCTGAAAAGCTGTGTGAGTCTTTGTCCTCCTGGACCAAATGTTCTGCTGCTCTTAATGAATCCTTCAAACTTCACAGAAAAGGACAGAAGGTCTCTAAAGGCCACCCTGAGTTTGTTTGGTGAAGAAGCCTTTAAACACTCAATGGTCATCATAACTGAAGAAGGGAGTGAAACGACTTTTGCTTTTAACACACTAATCAAAGAATGTCAAGGTGGACAGTACAGCCTGTCTGAAAATAATCACCAGAAATTCATGGAGAAGATTGAAGATATTGTGAAAAGAGACAGCAGTGCTTTCCTTAGCATCAAAGAGGTTGGAGCGGCATCAAAATGTGACCAATCGCTGCCATCTTTAAACCTGGTTCTGTTTGGGAGGAAAGGAGCAGGGAAGACCTCAGCAGCCAAAGCCATTCTAGGTCAGACACATCTTCATTCAGGCTACAGCTCATCAGAGTGTGTTAAACGCCAGGGAGAGGTGTCTGGGCGTAGAGTTTCTGTGGTAGAACTGCCTGCCTTGTATGGAAAAGCTCAGCAGGAAGTGATGAAGGATTCGTTCAGGTGTGTCTCTCTCTGTGAACCTGAGGGTGTCCACGCCTTCATCCTGGTCATACCTGTGGGTCCCCTCACTGATGAAGACAAGGAAGAGTTACAGACCATCCAAGACACCTTCAGCTCTCGGATCGACAACAACACAATTATTCTGTTCACTGCAGATTCTGATCGTAAACATCCAAATGTGGCTAAGTTTTTTGACCAAAATAGCGAATACGCAGAGCTTATTAAGAGATGTGGAGGAAGATATGTTGTTGTCAAAAATAAGGACAGTAAGCAGTTCTCTACTGTAATCGATTTTGTGGTAAAAATGAATCAAAGCTGCTACACATCAGCAACCCTCTCAGAAGCCTACGTTGATAAACTCCAACAGAGGGAGAACAACACAGAACTACAGAGCCTGCCTACCACTCTACCATCAAAGGTTCGGTTCGGTAAGTATTTTAAACCATATTCTTCAGGTATTAATAATAATCATTAAAAATAATAAAAAGATCCTATCTTTTCCGCAGGTTGAGAACAGATTGAAGGTGCTTTGCACAATAACTGTTCTTGACCTTATAGGGTTTAGCTTTACCGTGTTCCAAATATTCCTAGATGTTCCAGAGGATTGGCCAATGACTTTCTGTACTATAATTATGTCCTCGGTGTCTCCAGGAAGTTTTCCTCATGTTGGAACATTTTTAAGAAGGCCTGACATATAGTATGTGTTTAGAGAGGAATTTTAATCAGCTCTTGTCTAGTTAAGGTAAAGCCAAATAAGATTTTGTGTTTGTGGTGGTAAAAGTAAGTCTTATGACTGAGCCTTAATCTGACTATTCTAAGATCAGCCAGAGCAGAATCCTTTTTTAATCAGATACAGACCAAAAATACCCATTAGTGGTCAAGACTGAGACAAGGGCAAGACCTTTGGTACTCGAGACCGAGACAAGGCCAACACCTTTTATGGTTGAGTCGAGACAA